AACTGGAAATTGCAATCTTGCATTAAGGCACGATGCCATGTACCACTAATTTCTTAATATATAATCTTAGCTATAAACCTTGCGAAGCCCTAGAGCTTTCCAACGAATGCAAATTTGTCGAAGTCGGTTCGTGCGTTCTGGAGTTATATCGTCAGGAAGGAAAACCCAACTTATTTTTATATATATGTAGATATATGTAGATAATCTATTTGAAACTATTTAGAACAATTATTGATTATTTTCATTACTCGAATTTTAATTACGGTGCGTGAAGTTCCATCAATTTGCATTAAGGCACGATGCCATGCACCACTAATTTTCTTAGCTATTAACCTAGCTGAGCCCGAGACCTTTCCAACGAATGCAAAATTGGTGCGTTCTGGAGTTATTTCGTCAGGAAAGAAAACCCGACTTATTTTTTATATATATAGAAGATTGTAAATTAATAGATAATTTATTATTAGACAATCTTGTAATGGTGGGATATGAACAAAGTATTATTCAAAAACGTGCAAAGCAGCAACACGTCTCATATATCCATTTTAGTTAACTGCTTATAAGTTATATACTATAGCAACTTTATGCCTTTTGAATTGTAAAGGGAAGAATTGCTACTAAAATGATACTTATTCATACTTATGATAAAAAGGCAGAAAAACTGTTAGGATGAATTGGTTTTGTTCTTACATAAATGAAACATCAAGTGTAATATAGTAACTACAATACAACTGTCTGTTCAAACAAAAAAAAAAAGAAATCATTTTCCTAATATTCCAATAGACTTTTAAATATATCTTTAATTAATTTTAAGTTTTGGTTCTTAGTGACTATGTATATTTTTTACCTTGATAACCTCTGTCGTTCTCTATTAGCTTTCCTAATCTGCCTGTAGATCATCGCATTTAGACATGCCAGCGACGAGAAAGGTATAAAATATAAAAATACCAAATATGACCAATGTATATATAATGTGATGTACAGACTTTCAGCTCTTAGATCACTTGCTTCTACACAATGTATCGTCGTATCTCGTACTAGAAGAGAAGAAATATGAAATAAATATATAAATGAAATCATTTTATCCGACTTACTTCGATATTCTCGACTGGAGACTTCCCAAAATCTAGGAATATTGTACAGGATACAGAAGAGGGCAATTGCGCATAAGTGCCACCTGGCTCTGCCATGAGTGCACAATGCTCGTGCCCTTAATGGGTGACAAACAGCCACCCATCGTTCTAAAGTCACCTGTAATCATAATAAAATAATAAAATGAATTGATTTGAAAATGTACTTCCCTTGAAACAAGACGTTGATGCAAGACGTTGATATTTCAACAATGATAAAGGAGCCTCCAAATTATAAGTGCATCATTAATAAACTAACATTCATATTCAGAGAATTTGAGAACAAGTATTGACTATAAACCATCTTTTTAATTGAATGTTACAGCAATTTGAAGATACCTTGTTCATAAATTGTGAAAGTGGATGATAATTTTATAATGTGAAAGAATATTGATTATAAATGACCTATGACAAAGATCAATTTAGAACTACAACTATTAAGTATTAATATGATTCAGGAGGAAGCTAACTATCAAAATTTGCCAAAAAAGTAGAAGATATTTTTATAAACAAATTTTACCGTCATAGTGATATACACAGACGCCGTCTGTGCTATCATCGCAACTGGATACACATAGGGCGATATTCTAGGATATATAGAATAATAATAATAAAATAATTTCCCAGTATACGAATATATAGCTGGCAGTCCAAACAGCATCATTGATGTTAGGATGAGGATGGTGTCGCACCTGGCCAAACCTGAAACAAAAACAAAAACTAGCTGTAAGTGGAATTCTGTCTTAAGGCAATTAAGGCATCGTGCCTTAAGGCAAATTGCTGGAACTTCCCGTACCAAAAATTATTATTTTTTTAAAAACGATTAACATTTTTGAAAAAAATTTACTTCGAAAAAATAAGATTTTTGACAAACAATTAGACAAAAAATTACTTTTTTTTGAAAAAAAAAATTTTTTTAATTTTTTTTTTGAAAAAAAAATGTTTTTTTTATTTTGACATATTTTGAAAGATCTAAACTTTTTTTCAAAGCAATCGTACTGCTTTAACTGCATAAAGACGAAATATCAAACCGCGTAAGCGCCGCGTCGACGTCTAACGCGTAAACATTGGTACGGAACCCATAGGAATGTAAACCAAAATTATACTTCTTGTTAAAATCTCTATAAAATATCTGATAATTTGATGTGCATATGTCTAATGATCATTTTTGACCGCCAAATGGCATTTTTTTTTACTTTTTTCTTTAGATCTCCGAAACCGCTAGACCTGCCTTTATAAAAATTTGATCGGTTCTTCTTGTCAATACAAGTAAAATGTTTTTTGAATTATTAAAATCGGACGCTCCGTTCTCTTAAAAACTGAGTTACCGTTTTCGGCACTTTTTGCCCCGTATCTTAGGAACGGCTAGACCTGACTTCGCCAAAAACTAATCAGCACGTCTCCTTATCAATACGAATCGAATGTTTTTTGAATTATTCAAATCGGTTGATCGGTGTTCCCGAAATCGTCGACGAAAATTTGTATCAGCACATACATACACACACGCACACACACACACACACACATCCATTTTTTCTAAGGTATGCCAAAATATTCAGAAACCTTTGAAACGTCGAGAAATGCAAAAATTTTCATTTTCGATTTTTTTGCGATTACTATAACTTGCCCTACGGGAAGTTAATTAATATATTTGGTATTTGACAATATCTATAAGTTTATTTAACAGCTGTAATTAGTTTTGTTCAACTTGAAAACACAATAAGTATGTTTTCTTAGAGACCAGTCATTTTGACTGGTATTGGTAGAAATAGGTATATACAAACGGCTGGTATATCTAGTGATAAAAGATGAGTATCAAATCAAGTGAAGAATTATGTGGAACATTCTAGATCCTCCCCCACGAAGTAATGCCTAACTAACTTATTCGGTATTATACCAGGGCGGTATTGAGTCCGACATACCCAGATAGAACACCAGTCTGGGATGCATAAAGGCATTTCCTTCGCTATACAAAAAAAAAAAACATACACACATACACACACGCATGCATCCATTTTTTCTAATGTATGCCAAAATGTTCAAAAACCTTTGAAACGTAAAGATATATAAAAACTTTCATTTCCGATTTTTTTGCGATTACTATAACTTACCCTACGGGAAGTTGATTAAGATATAAAATTGTATTACCTATGAGCAAGCAGTTAACGCTGGACTTCATCTGCGGCCTGGACAGCACGACCATGCTCAGGACGTTTCCGACCACTCCCAACAACCCAACCACATTGAGGACCACTCCATTGGTTATGAACTCGAATAAGTTCAGATCGGAATCAGGATCATAAGCATCGAAACATGAACCATAGTGTGTGTCTTCGCTTAAATTGCTGAGCGTCTCGCCCAGAGAGGGCTCTAGGCCATCGGTGAAATTCATTTCACTTCAAATTATGGAATTTATTAACATTTTTAGGAATTTTAATAGCTTCTACTCGAATAATAGAGATATGTAAATATCTTTCGTGTATAGCACTTTTTAGTTATTTTATTAACAAGTCGGTTTATTAATTGGATACTGTAGCTATTTCATCACTTCTTATACCGAAATTTAAGAAAATTATGAGTGATTTTAAATACATTGGTCATTTATAGTTTTTACACATAAGATAAATTTTTATAATTTAAATTTACACAACTTATTTTGAACAATGTCGAGAAATATCAATTTGTAATTTTTAATTTGATCATAATTTATTATTTCCTTTTGGCATTACTCTACACATAATTATATTAAAACATTATATTTAAAACATTTCTTCATTAATTATTAATTCTAATATTATTATTGAATGATAAACGAAATCAGTTTAATATTTTTAATTTTTTCACAATTTATAAAAATTTTGTCTTGAAGTTAAAGAGTTAAAGTTATAAGTTAAGAAGTTAAATTAATAACAATATTTTTATTACGAATAATCCATATTTCAAAAATATGAATATAGTTTCTTAAGAATGCGTCTATGTTAACAAAACATTATATTTTAGCAGTTTCAAAAATAGATTCAAGCTACGAGAATTTGTCACGTTATTCTAATAATTTGAATGTTTTCGAATATTGTTTTCCTTTAGCACGAAATTTTAATGAAGAAATATCCAACATTAAACATTATTACTAGTAATTAAAAAAATTAGTTTATTTATATTATATATATCAGGAGATATTTACTGAAAAGTTTTTTCACTTGATTTCAGCTTTGTCAGTTTTAATTTTAATGATGGCGAGTAGTAACATGTAAAATGTTAAATGTCGATTTTATATATATTTTTTGAATTTAAACATTTGATTAACTGAAAATATGGTGAAATTAAATGTTCAAATATCAATAGTATTTTGTTCAAAATTAGTATAATATTTACGCGCAATGTAATGTCATATTAATACGTTTTTTCAATGTTTTGGTTTATTTTGTGGGTTTTAAGTATAGAATAACATTTCGTAAGTCCTTTCAGTAGTATTTATATTTTTTTGAGAATTCATTATTAATAATAATGAGTTTTTTTTAATTTTGGGTTAAATTACGAGTTTAAAAAAACGTTTATTTTATACTGAAGATATGAACGATCACTTTTTTGCATGAATACTGGTTCAGGTTGAGCTTCGGCAAAAATCCTGAAAATAAAAAAGATATTATTTTATTATCTTATGTGCTATGCAATATTTTTATAAAAGAAAATTAATTGAAATAAACACAGAAATATTACCACAAAGGGGTATTGTAGCAAATGTTCGATAAAATTGAACAGATTATTAAAATATTTAATTTAATGTGATCCTGGTGATGAGACAAATTATGTTCTCAAAACGTCCTGGGATCCTTAGCGCCCGAATGCAACTTTTTTATCTATCTATAATTGCGTCGTAAACTTCTCCTTATTGATATTGTAAGACACGAATTGTATTCAGATTGTTTCAATTGTGATTGTGATCAATAGTTAACGTATTTTAGAAGTAGTATTCAAAATGTTTATATTTTTTAACAAGTTTTGTTTCAACTAAATAAGCTCACAATTTTTCGTCAATAATGCCTAAAAATTAATTTAATCTTCCGCAGGTATGCGCTTATTGAACACTAGATAATTTCTTTTTCGATTCCACGGTAACTTCAAACAAAGGAAAAATTGAATAAGTAGAATAAGTAATAAACAGAGCTGTTATTTATTAATTTGCAGAGTAATTCATCGGTTAATTGTTTCTACTGATATAACATTGCAAAATAAATATGCTTTTTGTGTCTCCGTATCCATAGTTCAGTTAGATTGTTTATTATAATTTATCAAGTATTCCAGATTTTATATAAATAATAAACAATATAAATAATATATTATGAATTTAATTTCCGAAACTCGCTTTGGAGCCCCCTAAGGCGTGCGCCCGCATTTTTTGCATGCATCGCCCTGCTTAAGCGTATGCAAAATAGATTTTGCCAAAGATCGGTCGAACCGTTACGACGAAATATCGTTACAAACATCAAGACACGAGAATTTAATATATATATATATATATATATATTATATATATATATATATATATATGTATATATATATATATATATTATTGTATATATTTTCATATTTAATATGCCATATAGTCTTCGAAATTTTTTATATCACTTTGTGTCAGTTATTAAAAGCAGCCCCTACGCATTTTTCATTGAAGCTTAACATTATATAACACGAAATGGGCACACTAATGGATCTATTATGCCCTATTATATTTCATTTTAAATAAGGGAAAAAACCGCCACTGTTTACTTTTTTTTCATAAGTACCGCATCTTACAGTTAATGGCGAGATTCTTTATTTTCCCGGAATATTTTTGCGGTTATAAAAACAAAACGAGCAGTGTTAGGAAACATTTTCACGTATTAAAAATTAAATTAAATATAAGCTCATATATACTGAAATCTCAATTGAATGCATAGAAAAAATTTTCTTGATAGAACTCTTTGAAAAACGCAGAAATTATTGACGACTACAGAATATTAAGTTGATCATAATAAACAAGAGTGAAACTAATAGTGCATGGCATCGAGCCTTAAGGCAAATTGTTGGAACTTTCGGTACTAAAATTTAAAATTATTGAAAGCTTTAAAATTTTTTGAAAACTTTGAAAAAATTAGATAAATGAGATCATTAGAATTAAAAAAATACTTTTGAGTTTTTTTTTTAATTTTCAAAATGTTTGGAATATTTGTTTTTTTTTTCAAAGCAATCCCGCTGGGTAACTGTTCAGAGACGAAACATCAAAGCGCGTAAGCGTCGCGTCGCAATCTAGCGGTTAAGCTTCATATATCTTGGTTGGTACGGAATCCATAGAAATGTAAACGAAATTTGTATTGATTTTTAAAATCTTTATAAAATATCTCAATATTTGACGCGCTTATGTCAAATAAACATTTTTGATGAAGAAGCCAAACTACACTTCTTGAAACTTTTTTCATTGGATCTCCGAAAGTGCTGGATCTGCCTTCATACAAAATTTAATCAGTTCTTGCCGCTGTCAATATAAACTCGTTCAAAAATTGAATTGCCATTGTTTGCAATTTTGCCTTGTATCTTGGACCTGCCTTAGCCACAACACAAACACAAACTAATCAGCACGATTCGCACGAAAAAATTGTAACAAATTTAGTCCACTTATTTAAAACCTATATAAGATATCTGATAATTTGAAGCGCATATCTCTAATGATCATTTTTGACTGCCAAATATCATTTTTTTTTTACTTTTTTCGTGTATCTCCAAAACCGCTAGACCTGCCATTCTTAAATTTTATCAATTCTTCATTTCATCAATATAAGTAAAATGTTTTTTGAATCATTCAAATCGGGTAATCCGTTCTGTCAGAAACTGAATTACCATTTTTGGCACTTTTTGCCCCGTATCTTCGAAACCGCTGGACCTGCCTTCGACAAAAATTAATCAGCAACATCTCCCTATCAATAGGAATCGAAGGTTTTCTGAATCATTCAAATCGGTTGATCCGTGCGCTCGAAAGCGTGGACAAAAAATTGTATCCACACATACACACACACACACATCCATTTTTTCTGAGGTATGCCAAAATGTTCAGAAACCTTCAAAACGTAAAAAAATGTGAAAAGTTTCAATTTAAATTTTTGGACGATTACAATAACTCTACGGGGAGTTAATAAATAATACGCACAAAGTATAAACAAATAATATGCACAAAGTATAGTGAAGCAGTAATTAATATTACTTACGTGTGAATATTTATAACAAAAAATATTTTTTCACTCATGGCAACAATGATCATTATGACAAACAATTTGTGATTCGTCTAATTATTTCGCCACGAGTTGTATATTAATTGGATATACGGTGAAAAAGTACATTTGCGTTGTCATATTTTTTCCTATTAAATTTTCTGCTATTTGCAGAACGTGATTTTTCAAAATGTTCGCGGATCACGACAATCACAATGGAATTCACTAATTGAAAATATATAAGGAAAGCTCTAGAAGCAGAGTCAACATGGCTGTTTTATATGTAAATATTAGATTTATGCATATACGGTTTCAGAATTATTTTCTGAATTAAATATAATCATTTTTAAGTGAACATTATTTAATTGTTTTATAAATTTTGTTTGTCTCAAAATAATCATATAAATCGCCCTGCCAGAAACAATAAAAAGAAAACATTAAAAAAAGTTTAAGAAAAAGCAATTATACAAAATATGAAGTAAATTAATAGTTACTCCAACTCTGATGATGAATTCTTCTCACAAAGTTAAAAAGAAAGGTTATATGCGAAGTGACCTTTGTAAAAATATGTCTATGAAATATGTATTTCTAACAGTATTTATACAAACAGAAATTGTATTCACCTTAATATTTGTATTTCAAGAAACAATCAATCTAATTAAGATCAAATAGAAATACTTTCCAGATCATAAACACTTAGTTCATAAAGATTTTTGTTTATTGTATTCATTAATGCATATTTTAATTGTGATTCATAATTTTGTTGTTTAACCCAATATTTATACTGCATCGCATTAATGAAATGATGCCCCCGTTACTCCTTAATACCTCTTTAAAGTTAAAAATGAAATGGTGACCTTTTTGCCTCCGGATTATCAATTTTTAACTTCCCGAAAGAGAAGCTCATGTTTTCATAAAAAATCGATTCGCTAATTTTATATTTTCTCGACGTTCAAGCCATTCTGAATCGAATGAGACCAAATTTAGAAAAAGTATGTGTGTGTATGAGTGCGTGTGCGCGAACAGATTTTTTACCGTAAATTAGCATTTTCTTGGCATTTGTCAAAATTCGATCTTTCATCGAATTAAGACCATTTAATGAATATTGATAAGCACTTGCGTCGGTTAGATTTTGAATACAATCAGCTGAGCCGTTTTTCTATAATTAGCAGAGAGGTGAAAAATTTTCCGTCCATGTTTCAGCCAAAAATTTTGAACCGACTTTAAAAATTCAAAAACTATTCCAAAGATATTATTTGGGAGTCGTGCTGATTAGTTTTGGACAAAGATAGGTGGAGCCGTTTCTTCGTAATTAACTGTTGAAAAAAAAATTGATAAA